TCTTACAGGTGAACATGTAAAACAAAATGCATATGAAAATGCTAAAAAAATATGGGAAACATTCGAAATAAAAAATATGAAAGACTTTACTATACTTTATAATAAAATAGATGTATTATTACTTACAGATATAATGGAAAATTATAGACATGTTTCATTAAAACATTTTAAGTTGGATCCTGTTCATTATTATACAACTCCAGGTTTTGCATGGAATGCTATGCTTAGAAAAACAGGTATAGAATTAGAATTGATAACAGATATTGATATATATATTTAATGTTTGAACAAGGAATAAGAGGAGGATTATCTCAATATAGTATTAGATATTCTAAAACAATTCATAAATATATTGGAGAAAAATAGAAAAAAGAACAAACAGAAAAAAAAAATACCGAAATATCTGTTAAATTTGGATGCAAATAATCTCTATGGGTGGGGTATGTTTGAATATTTACCATATAAAGGATTTAAATGGTCTGATCCTGATTGCTTTGATACAGAATGAACTTTAAAAATGAAAGACGACCAGAAAAAAGGTTATATTTTTGAAGTGGATTTGAAATACCCTGAAGAGCTTCATGATCACCATTCGGATTATCCATTGGCTTCTGAAAATGTATTTGATAATAAAGAATTACCAAAATTAACAACAACTCTATATGATAAGAAAAAATATATTCTACATTATAGTAATCTTAAGTTGTATCTAAATACTTAGGTTTAGGTTTAAAATTAGAGAAAATACACAGAGTAATAGAATTTGAACAAAAAAATTGGTTAAGACCATATATAGAATTTAACACTAATCTTCGCGCAAAAACAGACAATGAATTTGAAAAAGATTATTACAAGTTAATAAACAACAGTGTATTTGGTAGGACTATGATGAACACAAGAAACCATAAAGATATAAAATTAATTAATGATGAGGAAAAATTAGAAAATCAAACTGCTAAACCAAATTTTGATCGAGCGACTATTTTTACAGAAAACTTATTAGCTGCACATGAAAAAAACTATGTTTAAATTAAAACAAACAATTTACTTAGGAATGTCTATTTTAGATTTATCTAAAACTGGAATGTATGATTTTTATTATAATGTATTAAAAAAGACATATGGAAAAAACATTAGACTTTTATACACAGATACAGATTCTTTAATAGTAAAAATTACAACTGATGATTTTTATACAGATGTAAAAAACAATAAACGACTTTTAAATTAATTTGATTTTTCTGATTATCCAGAGAATAATAAATATGGAATACCACGAATAAATAAAAAAGTTCCAGGTAAATTTAAAGATGAACTTAATGGTCAAATAATGACAGAGGTTTTTGAGTTAAGATCTAAATTATAAACATATAAAATATTTGAAAATAAAAATGAAATTAAAAAAGGAAAAAGTGTAAAAAAAACTATAGTAAAAAATTAATTATGTTTTAATGATTTTTATAATTGTGTAAACAATAAAAATCCAAAATATGTAAAACAGAAGACTTTAAGAACAGATATACATGAAATTTATCCTGTTGAACAATATAAAAAAGCCATTAGTGCATATGATGATAAAAGATATATTCTAGAAAATGGTATTGATACTGTAGCTTGGGGACATTATTCATGGATAATTTACCAGGATTGTAAGTTAGCATAATATATTTTAAAATAATTCATAGATATTAATTTCTTCTTTGTTATAGGTAAGAACTTGTATGGATGGGCAACGTCAGATTATATGCCAAGCGGCGGATTCGAGTGGATGGAACCCACGGTGGGCTTAAAAAATATATCGAGCTTAATACCGAAATGAGGAAGAAGGCCGCAAATACATTTGAGAAGGACTTTTACAAATTCGTGAACAATGCAGTATTCGGTAATTCGTTATTATTATTAAAACTTTAATGTTATTATTTTATTTTTGTATTTTGCAGGTAAGTCAATGGAATCAATGAGACGGAGGAATAAAATTGAGTTGGCATCGAGTGAGAAGCAGGCACAAAAACTAATATACATGACTACGTTTAAACACTGCACTACATATAACGAAAATCTGTGTGCGGTGGCTCTGGAGAACAAAATAATACATTTCTGTAAACTAATTTATTGTACCTTAATTAAAATCATATTTAATTTATGATATATTTATTTTTTATTTTATATGTTTACAGGATTTGCTGTACTGGATATCTCTAAAACCAAGATGTATGACTACCACTACAATATCATGAGGAAACATTTTAAAAACTCTATACACCCTATGTATAACGACACCGGTAAATTATTGTTATTATTATTATTATTTTTCTTATATGTATGATATTATATTATTATTATGATTTTCAGATTTGTTAGTGTATCATATCGATACAAGAAACTTCTATGAGGACCTATTAAACAAATGGGGTTGTTGGAGTGTACGG